AGGTTCAGAGTATGCTCCCATTTGCTTGAATACTACTTGTTCTCAGGACCTTCTGAGTCATGAATCAAGGTTTTCAGTGCTTTACTATTATATGTCAGCCTTCTCAACAAAGTAATCTCCCCCATTTTCTTCAGCCATTCTACTGCTGCTGCAGGGTAGGTTGAGAGTTTCCATACAAAGTTTTGCTGTTGTCAGTAAGGTCACATTTCCTGTATTATATTCAGAATTGTGGTCCAAAATTCTTTTATTTTCATATGCATAAAATCTGCCTTTGGGTTGTTGTTGTTTTTTGTTGTTGTTGGTTGGTTGTTTTGCATCTCCAGCACTGCATGTCTTGTCTATAATTTTTTTCAGCTAGGTACCAATGAAATATGAACTTATCTCTTTCTTTTAGATCAGTACCTAATAATGCTGCTGGGATGTTCTCAAACATCCAGTCCCATTCAGCTTGTGAGATGGTTAAATTAAAATTTGTTATATCCTGTTTCCATAGATTTCTAAGCACAAAAAGATGGGGTTTTCTCAAACATATAATCATGAATTGGCCAAGATTTTCAAAAGTGAGATACCTGTTGTTTCTCATTGCCTTGCCTTTTTCAGAAGCTCAGTCTATTAAATCCACAAATAATTCACCACATTTTACTCCAAAATTAGACATCAGTCCTACAACTTGAGAAAAGGAGTATCATGGTAGCTTCATACTTTATGGTCCCCAACGTGTCTACATGGGTGCTTAAAAACATCATCTACACTTTACTATACTACTTTGTTGTGGGAAGCACTATTCAAAACACCACTGTATGTGCAGTAATCAGGTTTAGCATGTAAAGTGACAAGTGGCCCCTAGTAGCTAATCTAAAAATCTTGCACTACCAATCTTACTAGACAGGCTTGGAATTGGTTTTGGAAACATCTCTGCCCTGAGCTTATTTGGATAGTCTATCATACAGCAGAGTTTTAAAATATCAATTAAATTGTCAAAAGTAACAGCTCCTGGCACCATAAAATTCCTTTAATTTGGCCAAAACTGAGATTACAATAAAGCCCTGTGCTTTGAATACGTGTATAGATTTTTTTAAAAAAATATCTCTCTAGAATGCAGACTTTTTTCCCCTGCTGCTATTTTCTGCCATAAAGATTAGCCAGGAAGTATGTTTGAAGCAAATAGCTATAGCGGTTCATTTACTTTGAGTAATTTAGCTTTAAAGCATGCATTAAAATGAAAAGCGCTTCTGCTCGCGGAGGCCAGAGTTGCAGATAATCAGTCCAGCAGAATTTTCCCCATTGCAGCTGACACACTGTGTACATTGCCAGTAATGCATTTCATGTCATTTGTTTTATCTTTCCCAGTCTCTTGCGAGGCTCTCTTGGCAGTTCCTGTGCAAGCACATTAGATGTGTGCACAAATTGCACTCCTTTTGCTTGTGATGTGTAAGCTGTGAAGAGACAGGACAGTTAAAATCAAGTTTCCACAAATCTTTCCTAAGAGACTTTTAGGTTGGCCTCCTAGAAAGTGGAGAGCCAACGTAGACCAGTAGCTTCCGAGACACAAGCCCTGCTGGATCAAACCAAAGGACCTTCCAGTCCAGCGTTGTGTACTCACACATTCTCTTTTCAGATGCCTTTGGGAAAGTGACAAGCAGGACCTGAGCTTTGAGTTGCAGACTTGAGCCTAGGATACTGGGTCTTTAAAAAAAAAATGCATCATGGGAACACTGGGAGGCTTTGGGCAAGTCTCAAAATACCCATCAACACAATGGGCGTGATATAGACTTACTCCACAGGAATAATGTTCATGGAAGGGAACCTACAAGGACTCCAAAACTCTTGGAATTACTTAAATGCTGTCAAAATTATGAGAACAATTTGCTTATTAGAATAACCCTGTGCACGTTTACTAAAAAGTAAGTTTCATGGTGTCCAATGAGCCTTATTCCCTAGGTTTGCTTATGATTTCAGTCTGAAGGCTTTGTGCATTAATACACACAGTGGGATAGAAGCTGCTTCTGTTTGGTGCAATAATGTGCCATGGAAAGACTTGCATGACTTGTATATTTTTGGGACTACAACTCCATCATCACTAGCTAACAGAACCAGTCGTCAGGGATGATGGGAATTGTAGTCCCAAAACAACGGGAGGACCAAGTTTGGCCATCACTGGGATAACACAATGAGGATATCACCCATTTCACTCCATGTATATCCAATGGTACAGCTTTGGATGTGGGGGTGGTTTTGCTGTTCTGTTCAGTGCTGCTACTCCCTGGAAAGTGTTAGAATTGTTTCTTTAAATGTGAAAGACAAAGGGGGAGCTCTAGGAGAAGGAAATGCACCTGAATGCCAACTCTTTGAATTCAGCTGCTCAGGCACTTCTGTTTCCGTCTTGGTTGGCTCCTGTTTTCTGCTTGAGAGACACTCCTAGCATACCTGGAATGTGCCGTTCGGAACACAGAAAACTGACTTGCACTGAGTCAGAGTCAATAGTCTGTCTCGCTCAGTACCGTTTTCTCTGAATGGCAATGACTCTTCTGGCTTTTTCAAACCTGGGTCTCTCCTAGTTCAACCTGGAGATACCAAGGGTGGGATTCAGCTAATGAGTCCCATCATCAGAAGTCTGTGTAAGGACTTCTGACTGTGCCACAAGGCTCCCCACTTCCTCCCCTCATGCCTCTTCCAAAATTGGCTAGGCAGGCAGTGGTCAGAGAACCTTCCTAACAGCACACAGGGGCATGAGGGAAGGGTTGTTCTGTCTGGCAAGCAGAAATGCTTTTCCTGATGGAACAATCAGGAAAATTCCTCCCCTTGTATTGAATTTACGTACTCCCTTAAATATTTCTAGGCCTCATTTTATAGACAAAGGCATCACTTTGGGGCTTAGTTCACACAATGCAATATCATAAAAAAGAGCACTATCATTGTCTTTCTGCTGTCCATCAGCAATAAGGTTTCTATCTATGTGTGAGCTGATCCCTTCAGCCAACTTCTTGTTTTTCACATGGTGGAAGCAAGACGGTTGCTACAAACCTCAAAGCATTTAATTAACTTTCGTACAATGAAGTCTCTATCTTTAGGCATCACTGTCTGACACTGCCTGACACCTCAAGAGTAATTAGAGTGTCATGGAGGTACAATTCTTCTGCACTGGATCGGACTCAAGAACGATAAAGGTCTTTCATTTACATCAGTATTCTAATTAGTTTCAACAGTTTAGAGATCTGAAAATGACTGGAGGATTGAATCAGTATTTATTAGGGTATTGTGATGTCAACGCAATATTTCCAGCTTTGTTTCCATTGCAAATCATTATTTCTGTGCTTTATATAAATCATCTCATTGCTAAAAAAATTGAGTTCATTTCTGTGTAAATCCCAAAGCTGGTATCTCTTAAAATTAAAAAAAGAAGAATCAACCAGTATTGGGTTTGGTTGTTTTTAGAATCTGCAATTTCACTAATTCTGGGATTTCTTGCTAGTCGGGGGGGGGGGGGGGGCTACTAAACAGCCATGAATTTATTTTTTATCCTGATCAGCATGAAAGGATGTATTTCTATGTAAATTCCTATATTGTTATGGTGATAATATAATGATGGCATTAATGCATGGGAAAGTATATATTTTATCTTAAAGGAAAATATATTATTTAGATGGAATAAAGGATCCAGAAAAACAAAAGTCTATTTGGTTTCACTCTATGATTTGTTAGTCATCTGCACAGCCTGCTATTTTCATTCATTATATGTGCAGTAAGTACCTGTGGGTGTAACTATACATGAGAGATAAAGAGTTTTTAACAGTCCTTCCCTCATCCCAGAGAATTGCTGAAACAGTAGGGCTTTAACAGAATTTATGACTGCATAGATTTCTGCCAAGGTTGTGGGACTTTTAGAGACTTTTGGTTTTTGGATTCTGGAGCCAGGGTCATAGAGTATCCTTGGTCATGTCACTGCTAGACACACCTAATAGCTTCATAGCCCACTGAAAAACATGTTATAAAAAATCAAGGGCAAAACACAGAATTACGGTAATAGTTCCTGTAAAACTACAGGAATTGTTTTGGTTATCTTTTTGATGCTGTAACAGTCTACAAAACCTTGCATAAGTTATTTCACTAATGAAAATCTAGGTAGAATTCATCTTGTTGGGATCATATCATTTGCAGTGGAGAAAAAATAAAGCTTTTTACTGATGTTTTCTAGTCTCTTGATCTACCTAATCTGAGATCTTACCCACACTTAGCTTTTGCCCTGTTCTTTTCAAGCACAGATCCATGCTTAAAAGCTTTGTGTCTGAGCATTGTTGACTTTTTGCCCTGGAGCTTTCCCCACAAAAACTCACTCTTTAGCACTCAATCGGAGCAAACATCAATTTAGGTTACCCATGGTGGTGTGGTTGGGTTGGGACCATGCCAAGGGCCTCCAAGTGTGGCGCTGGCCCTACGAATACACGTGGTCTTTCCACAAGCAGCAGCCCCGTGAGATGAAAAAGGGTGTTTCCAGGGGTTGTCAAATGCCATCCCCATTCACCCGACTCTAGCAGATGTGAATAAAAAGAAAACAAATGAATTTTCTTATTAAAGATAAGTCCTCGTGGGTAGTAACAAGCTTAACCATCTCAAAGCTCCCATAATGTTTATACCTGAGTCCCTCTCATTCATAAGCCGCGTTGCTGGTTGTTGTTGTTGTTAAAAAAGATAATACCCTACAGAAAGTTTTCCCTTGCTAATCTCTTGCTTTCTCTTCATACCACGGAGAGGCGGCCAGACTATAAAGATGAAGACTACAATCCTTCAAAGCATTCCTAGCAAGTTCTGAAATATGGTATAGCAGGATTGTCGGCTAATACTGTATATCTACTCCAGTTTTCAATAACATTTTACGATGCTACTTAAGCTGGGTATCCATCTCTGATGCTACATCTCTGTGTCTCCTCGCAGTATATCACACTCCCAGAGCCCATGAAAATAAGTTCTAAGCTGTATTTCTCTGTGTTCTTTTACTGCAGCTGGCTGTCCAGATTCCTTGATTAAAGAGCTGCATCACTTCAGAATTCTGGGCGAGGAGCAGGTGAGTTAACATCTGAAAGGCAGCGTCATGGTCTCATGAAAGATAGACGCTAATGAGACAGCTTCGTCTCTCTCTGGGGAAGCACCATGTGTCTCATGACCCTCTCTGCGCCCTGAAATTGGAATGGGGCACGCGCACACACACACACACACACACAGTATATATGTTTGTCTGTAAGAGGCTTTTTTTCATTCTATCCATCAGCCTTGACAGGTTATTAATTGGTACATCTGCTATCTGCCACAGTTTTTCAACTCTGGGCTGCTGCAGTAAACAGGCAGTGTAAAATGGCAGACAAACAGGAGAATGAGGTCTGCTTAAACTGAAGACATATTCTTGCTCGGTGTGATCTCCTTATGCTTGGATTAGGATTGTATTTCTGCCGTTTTTGAAAATCTGGTTACTGCCCTCACTATAGGTCAGCTTTCAGGCCAAGTCACAGCAAAGGCTGATTAAGTGAGATACACACATGCATTTCCCTTTTTAAAAATTCAAAGCTACAGTGGGCAGATTCTATACCCTTTGAATGCCTTTATAAAATCAGTCTACATTTGGAAGGAACTGAACTGCTTTTTTCAGGCTTGGGCTTGCAGAATGCATGCCCACCTTAAATTTATGATTAAGAATAGCATCTATGCATTGAGAGACAGATTTGGGGAGAGATGTTAGGAAATCTACTGTAACTGATCCCTTTGTCTTCCTTTTGCAGAATGGCTGCACAACATCTGGTTGCCTCAAGGGGTTTAAAAACCTGGACAGAGAGGCCTAAATTGTATCCACTCACATCCACCTTTTAACATGTGTTCCCCACAAAAGACTTAGCCAAAACTAAATCACATACTCTTTGCTTTATAAAGAAGTAAAATATTTTACACCCAATACATCAGGGGTCACAAAAATGGGGCTTTAAACACGTGTCCATCCAGTTGGCAGAAAGATTCAAAAGGAGTTTCCAAAAATAGTTTTCAAGGAAAAAAAAACCCATGAACAGGTACTCTCCAATTAAGAGCAAACCCCAGGGGAGGAAAGTAACAGCCATCCTTAACTGCCCTGCCCGACACACAAAAGCTGTGTGTCCTTTGTCAGGAAGTTCCTATGTCAGGAACCAAACATGAAGGAAAACAGGTTGTGTGTATCTCCTAGTTGGGAAGATTTACAAGGTGGTATTTTGGGAGCAGGAAGCCAGTGGTAGCCCCTGCTCTTGAATCTACATTCTTCCAAAAGAAAGAAAGTGGACTAACCTGGGAGAGAACAAAGCTTGCAACGTGCTTCTAAGTTCTTCCCAAGTGAATGAGTTCATAACCAAGGGACTTGCTGAAGGTGCTTGCTCAGCTGAACCCCTGCATTATGCATGCAAAAGGTGAGGGAGGAACTATCCCACACGATGATAAGGAATTCTTGGATGAGGTATTTGGTCACTGAACATTATTAGTATCAGAGTACAGTATATGCTATTTCATCTGGCCCCTGTGCTTCCTTCCAACCACCAGCTGTTCAGTGGGGAGCAGTTGTTAGGAGAAGGGACTTTGATGTTGTGCATAGTTGTACCTCTTTCCTCTGCGGGAATACCTGATAAAAGAAGAATAAAGCATGTGGGGGAAAGGTCTCAGCCCAGAGGTAGATGTGTGTTTTTGCAAATATGCAAAAAGTAGTCATTTGTTTGGTGATTGCATGCTTGCAAGCTTCAGCATGCAATTGCATTTTGAAGTTTGAGGCCTTAAATAGCTGTAAGGCAGGACTCAAAGTTCAACTGTGAATTGACCTTATTTGTGTTATTCTGCTAGGATTACTGAGCTACGTTTGCCTTTTGTACAGTCAGAACAAATAAGGGATGTTGGAGAGCCCAACGTTTTTGTTAAAGTCTATGGAGAAAATGGAAAGTGAAGTTGTGTGGTATTATGAGGAATGAAATATGTGCTTCAATTTTCAGGAGTGTGTGTGTGTGTGTGTGTGTGTGTGTGTGTGTGTGTGTGTTAGAGAGAGGGTGGGAAGGAAAGAGGGAGGGAGAGGGATTGTGTATTTCTGTAGTGGGAGACTGGCCCCATCCACTACTAGGTGGCTCACAGCAGCATTCCAGAGGGGTAATGTAGCTCTTGGCTCAAAAAAGGTTCACCACTCCTGAACTATATCTGAGAGTTTTCTTTCATTATGGGCATGGGGGTCCTTATTATCATCCAGATTACATCTTGAAGTAATTTGGGACACTGACACCATGTTTTTGGAAAAGAGCAATAAATGTGTTTCCCTTGCCTTTGAGATATGCCGTTCTTTGTAAGATGTGCTGTTACTGATATCCAAACTCCTTTTCCATTCTTTTTCCTTCCTTTATCTGGTTCCTTTGAGTGGACTTAATGACTTTGGATCTCCTTTTTGTGAACAATAAAGGCAGAATATATTCACAAAGCTTTGTGCAGATATGATTTAAATATTCTTAGTGAGTTGTATAAATTAAAAATGTAGGAAATGTTCCCATGACCCTTTTTAGCAAAATTATCTTTTTACTAAAATATTCCAATTTGCTCCAGTTATGTTTACAGTGAGCCTGTCCCACTTAACTTATTTTACAAAAGAGTAGTTTTCAACATTGAGGCTGCAATTCAACACACACTTTCATGGTGGTAAATCCAATTGATCTGTGTGGGGCATACTTTAGATATTGCACTGCCAGTGATTCATATGGACCAACAAAATATGCAGCAACCAATTTCTCAAATATATCTTTCACTCTTTAAGAGAGGGTTTTTGAAAGTTCAAACTTATAAATGAAGACCTTTCAGGAATCCTTGCAGGTGTGTGAGCTTTATGGTATTTTGAGCTTTTCTACCCTATTGGTTTGTCAATGGGTTAACTCAGAGAAGTGTAGGGAAAGTGAAAGTGCTACAACAGATATGACTGTGTTGCTTCCATTTTGTAAATATCTTGCTTGTGATTATTTGAATATATAGGGAGTAGGATCTAGAGATCTTTTCCAGTTCCTCCCCTTCTTTCCCATTTGGGAATTATGGTCAGTTCAGTCTACACCTCCCTGCTTTATTTAAATCCTGATCTGCACATGCAGCACAATAAGTTGGAAATAATGTGGTTGTATGTAGAAGTGGTGAATGGAATGTACTATTTTCAACTACAGGTGGGTGGGTGTGCCACAATTTTACAAGCTCCCTTGCATTAAAACAAAAACACAACTCCTGCAAGTACAAGATAAGCACAACAAATAATGAGATGGGGTGGAATCTTCCTCCTGATTTTTTTTCAGTTGCATAATTTATTTATTTTTATAATGTGGGAATTCCAAAATGCCATCCTCCCTTTCAAGGAGTATCTCCACCCCCATCGTTCAGCACGGACACTGAGGTCCAGCTCTGAGGGCCTTCTGACTGTTCCCTCACTCCAAGAAGTGAGGGTACAGGGAACCAGGCAGAGGACCTTCTTGGTAGTGGCGCCTGCCCTGTGGAATGCCCTCCCATCAGATGTCAAGGCAATAAGCAATTATCTTACTTTTAAAAGACATCTGAAGGCAGCCCTGTTTAGGGATGTTTTAAATGTTTAATGCTGTATTGTGTTTTTAATATTCGGTTGGGAGCCTCCCAGAGTGGCTAGGGAAACCCAGGCAGATGGGAGGGGTATAAATAAATTTATTATTATTATTATTATTATTATTATTATTATATAAGGCTGTCGGAACCCAAGCAGATAGGGGTTAAGACTACATAATATTTGGGCGGGGGCGGGGAGGAATTAAAAGGGACCAAAATGAAAAAGAGGTACAGTGGTACCTCGGGTTAAGAACTTAATTTGTTCCGGAGGTCCGTTCTTAACCTGAAACTGTTCTTAACCTGAGGTACCACTTTAGCTAATGGGGCCTCCTGCTGCTGCTGCGCCGCCGGAGCACGATTTCTGTTCTCATCCTGAAGCAAAGTTCTTAACCCAAGGTACTATTTCTAGGTTAGCAGAGTCTGTAACCTGAAGCATCTGTAACCTGAAGCGTCTGTAACCCGAGGTACCACTGTACCTTGAAAACATACCTCAGATTCAAAGGCAGGAGACAGCTTGGTCACTTGAGAGTAAAACCTGTGAATGCATTTAGCAGGATCTTCTCTTTTCAGATGCACCTGTTTAGTTGCCTTGGGTAGCACAATTTTTTTAAAAAATCTTGACAGTGCAATAATAGTTTAATGATTTGGCATGATTCCTATACTGAGCCAGTAGAAAACGTCAAATTCCCTGACAAAATACAACTTTCCCTCCAAATCAAACCCAGTAAATCAATTTTCTTGCTTATAACTTACAAAAGCAGAATTGATTATTTTTTAAAGTATTGTTTGTACATGAAAATTAAAAAAACAAAACAGCAATGCCCTTTATATCACACTGGAAGCTTTTTACTTCAGGTGCAGAATGATAACAGAAATTTTGGCAGCTCTTTAGCTGCAGCATGTGTGGCGCAGACTTTCAGAAGTGTTTGAGATAGACTTACACTATCTCCCCACCTTTAACCATACCCTTTCTGCTCTGTCAAAGCATGGGAGGCATTGCAGAGCTGGGGTAGCTGTGATTATCAGCCTTTCTGTTCAAGAGGAATAGCATGGCTGTGTTCTGATATAATTCTAAACTATGAGCTCCCTCTTCTGCTTCACTGTGGCCATAAAGAGGGAATCAGAAGCTTCTACTTTCACTTTAGATTAACTGTAGTTTAGCATGTCATCTGAACCCAAAACTGTGGTTAGTTGAAATAAACCAGCTTCATAAACTATGGGTCAGAGCGGGGTAGTTTCAGCTAACCATAGTTAAGATTAACCACAGTTTTTCCAGGTTTGGACTACATGTCCCAGTTTGCACAGCGCAGTAAGCTAAACCTTGATTACAGGTATTAGTAACAGAGGAAAGAGCTTCACAATGTTCAGACAACACACTTTGGCTTGGTTTCCATGCAGTGCCGCTGAGCTAAAAGAACTGAGAAGGAACACAGCATCAGGGAACTGTGGGAGCCTGCGCTTTTGTGTGTTTGCAGTAAGCCATGGTTTGACTTCTCATCTGTGAACAGAGCCTGCAGCAAGCAATGGTTCATCTAAGAAAGAAGCAAAAGCTTCTGGACTGCTGCAGAAACAGAAACTGCACAGCTAGCAGGAAAGAGGCAAAAAGGGATATCTCTGAACTCCAAATCCTACTTGTGATGGGCTCAGAAACTCTTTACCACTCATATGCAGCAAGGTGGTTTTTCAGCCCCTGGTTACCTGGATAAATTAGTGGAAGGTATGTTCGAAATGTTTAAATGCTGATAAAGCAGCACATTATTTTTTTCTCCTTTGCAGTACAACCGTTACCAGTGCTATGGTGCAGAAGAGTGTGTTCTGCAGATGGGTGGCGTCCTATGTCCTACCCCAGGATGTGGAGCCGGTCTGCTTCCTGAAACAGAAGTCAGAAAGATAGTTTGTGAGCCAAGCAATGGAATGGGCTGTGGGGTAAGAAAAATTCCCAATAGTTCTATGACTATCAGTTAAGGTTGTGAAGTAGAGGAGGGGTGGAGGGGGGTATCTGAATTTCTCTGTCTCACTGGTGACTCTGAGCTGCTCTTCGTGGCAGAATGAGCAGATCACAATAAATAATAATAATAATTCACTGCTGCAGCGCAGAAATGACCACTTTGTCATGTAGAGTATGTCTGTCCCAGAATGCTTTGCTTTAATTGGTTTGTGAAGTTGCTGATCTAAGTAGTTACAGTGAAGAGTGGGGCTGTGCAAATGACAAGCCAAGAGCTTTGACTCTCTTTAAAACTCCCAGCAGTCAGCAAAACGGTAAAGGTTCTGGAGCCAAAGGATTTGTTATAAGCAGCACTCTATTTAAACAGGTCTGGGGAGGGGCAGGGTGCGAAAGAGTCAAGTAAGTAAAACGATGCCGTGTGTTTTGAGCAGATCGATGAAGAATAATGTAGATAACATGACAGTGCCAAATGAAAGCTCGTTTTAAATAAATGTTGTCCAAACCAAACAGAGAGATTGCCTCTGCCTCTTCCCTTGTTTCATTAGCAATAGCTCTGTCAGACAGCAGCACCCTCCATTCATCAAGTAAGAACAATGGGGCTATGCAGCAGACCCTTTAGATAGCTGCTTTTGGCTCTGGATCTCAGGAGTCACCAACATCTTAAACCTAACCCAAGAATTTAGAGGGGGAAGGTGATCCAGCCACTTCAGAATGGGTGGGGTTGCATCAGAGTCTCTGTTCATGGAAAACGAGCATGTCAAGGTTTTTATCATAAGCAAACATTTGTGTGTGTGGCATGTCACTTTTAAATGGTGGGAAATTCCAAACATACTCATCTCATATTCCCTGCTTGGGAACAAGGTAAAGCTGAAGGAGACAAACCATGGCTTTGCTCTCTGCAGCAGAACTCTAGGAGAAGCGAAGCAGCCACAATCTCTCTGCTTTTGTGTTAAGCCACAGTTTACCTTGGAGTTCAAACTGAGCCATTAGACACAGGTGTTGTGTTCAGGGATAACAAACATATTCCTAATATAATGTTCTTTGTTGTAAGGGATGTATGATAGCCCTATTTAAGTGACCCCCCATTGTGTTACCCTTTACCCTTGTGGAGCTGCTGAATATATATTTAGGAAAATGATATTAGACAATGTGTATCCTCTATAAGGTTCATTTGGACTCAGATTTAGTTTTGAAAATATATATTTTGCATGCCGCATACCTGAGAGTGATTTCCTGGCTTTGCTGTTGGCTAATCCTTTTTATTTTCACTCATGAAAACAATACCGTAATTTGATTTCCCAAGGGATTACCATTACGCATTGTTCTTCCGCCTTCATTGCTATTCATCAGACCAATCTTTCTCGCTTTCATAGCTGAGATGTAAAGCACTGACATCTTTAACATGGGAAACCAGCAAGAAAATATGGAAGCTGTTACACTCTGTGCCACCTAGCCTGACTGCTGAAAAAGCTGGAGTAATCAAGGCTCATGAGAGCTCAATAAATAAAGCACCTTTGTCTTGTTTTGTACTAGACTAGCATATTGCTTACTATATATCAAAAGGATGTTTACTGTTCAAAGGGGAAGAAGTTCCATTCCTGATAAGGTTAGGCCTGAGTATCAAGGAAGAATACATGGTCTGCCTATTACAAATGCTATTTTATCAGGTACATGTGTAGCTCACGCCCCTATCAGTATTCACAGTACTAATTTTAATTTGTTGCTATGGAATGAAAGTGTAAAACAAGAGATTGAATAAGATTCTTGATGCTGGCAGGTGCTGCTGCTACAATGCAATAAGAGAAAATTGCATCTCTGGATTGTATGCAGTCAGCATCCAACACAATATCTAGGTATATTTCTATGCACAGTGATTCTGTTTTTGTGAATTCCAAATGCAAACTGATCTGATCCACGTCTCCTGGACAAATGTGCTGATGAATACATAATTATCCTTTAGATTTCATGCTTCTCTGAACTTGTGATATATTTCTTGAATCAGAAAATTACCCAAATTCATTAAGAATGCACGTTTTAGGATAAAATGCATGTATATGTTGGGATAAAAAATGGTTTTGTACATACTTTGTAGTAAAAATACGTATTTAAGTGCAGATTAACGTTAGAATGGATTTGACTTGTGAATGAACACATGCAAAATTGACATTGCCTGGAAATGCATGGATCCATCCCAATAATGAGACTGTTCAATTCATTTGTTGGCCCATTTCTCGAATCTTGCTTCAAATCTGCTTACAATACTTACCATAACTAGAGAATAAAAGCAATTTTCAGAAGTAACCCAGTTACCAATCCACCTAACAGTTAGCTCATCCATCCCAGCTCATTGTTGTTCTTGTTCTTGTTGTTCTTGTTGTTGTTGTTCATAGTAATAGTACCATCATCACCATCATCTGTGGGGTAATGCTAATGTTTAAGTATGTTTAAGCGTGAGGCAAGAATTCCTTAGTCCATTTGTAAGTCTTTAAAGCGCAAATAACAAGGATATCAATTCTCAAGTAGTAAAATAAAAGAGATTTCTCTTTCCTTGTGCTGTGGATTCTCTACCCCTTATTCATTTTGTTCCAACTCGCACTCTTAAGAAAATGTGCTATAAATATATTATTATGGGCAAGGTAACATTGGAGGACGTTGCTGAGATTAAAGAGCTGGCTCACAGCAGAATTGTTTCAGGACATCATGTTGCGACTTTTTTTTTCAAGGGGAATGAAAATGAGACAGACGTTTTCCATTATTGCTAAATGCTGAGTTGCTTGCATTATGCCACAGGCTCTAGGCAGTAATCATGTATAGCTTTCTTCTACTGAGTGGGCACTCTAGCCTGTAGAAAGGGGAATTCCATCTTGTTGACACATTATGCTTCTCTTTCTAAGCAAGTTGTTTCATTGCTAAAATATGACATGCTTCTCTAGGATAACTGAAATACTCTTTTCTGGTAATGTCTAACATGGTTTGCAGTGATCTGTAAGAAAGCACTAGAGCCTTCAACATGGGCGAGTGTTGATAAGCCTTAATGTCGCCCTCACTTCACCATAGTGCAATGCAATTAACATGCCATACCACTGCCAAATGACATTATTATTATCTCCAGTATATGTGCCGTGCTGTACTGCACCCAACTGATCCAGTGGCAGATGTAAAATTCAGATGTCAGATCTGACAACGTATAGCAGTCTGAAACCACATTTCCATTATTAAGAGTGTAGGTCATATTAATTATTCTCCTTCTGAGAAATGGCAAAACACAGTTTAGATGCTGAATGCATGTCTGTTTCTCTATTTGGATTTAAAATAAGTAAAAAACAGATAATTTTACCTATACCTGTCAACTGCACCAAGATTTGTAGTTATTCCTAGCAGTGTTTTTCCACCAGTATGGGTAAGATGTAGACAGAATGGAATGGAATCTGTAGAAGTTGAAAATAAAGCTTCAAACATGTCCCAAGCTGTCTGGATCTGATGGGAGTTTAGTCCAAATAATCTGGAAACCAGACCGGTGAAATCTGATGTATAAAAAATAGTGAGAATCCTTTAAGCCCATCCACATATGTATAGTGCATACGGATATTTAAGTTCCTAGGTTCAAAGATGTAATAGTAACATAAGTAATTCTGTATCTCTTACCCATAATATATTACTGATACATTTGCTTACTGGAAGCACTGCAAAAAGAAATACTGGGCAGTTAGAAATAGTTGGCTACAGGAAAGAGGGTGATCCAGGCATAATGCAGGATACAGTGAACTTCCTTTGGAGGCAGAGGCTGTGTGTGTGTGTGTGTGTGTGTGTGTGTGTGTGTGCAAAGGCTGCACGCACACACACACACACACACACACACAGCCTCCGCCTCCAAAGGAAGTTCACTGTATCCTGCATTATGCCTGGATCACCCTCTGTCAGGAACAGTGTGACAAAGAACTAGTTCCACAGCCAGAGGCTGCAGCTGGCTGTTTTGTGTGTGTGTGTGTGTGTGTGTGTGTGTGTGTGTGTTTGTTTTTGTTTTGTTTTGTTTTGTTTTTGTATTTAAAGAAAGCTACAACCAAGAATTAATTAATGGCAGAGGGAAAATACATTTCAGGATGAAGGCATGGAATTGGGACCAGAAATGCAGCTAAAGCTGAAGTCCGATGCCCTGCCATATTTTTGTAGTGTGATCCGTCTTTCAATTTTTTATAAGCTTTCTAATCTTGTTTTGCTGATAGCACCCAGCTCTTAAATTAGAGATCACTGGCTGGGGTTGCAGAGTCTTCTCAGAAAGGTTGTCCCCTTGCTGACTTCAGGTACTGTCTAAAGATGCATAGCACCTGAAGCTATCTAGAGAAGCAAGCACTTCCTCTTCCCGGTGAGGTCTTTAAGGATCTTAGGGCTTTTGAAGCACTAGAGACAACATGGTGGGAAGGAAGGATAGCTAAGCCATATGGCCAGGTGAGAGAAATTTTCAGTGGGTTAAATTGCAATATCAAAGAGAATGCCATTAACAAAAAAACTACCTGTGGGCATGTGCTCCTTCTCTTCATGTGAAAGATGTCAGCCAGAGGAAGTGAACAGAAATGCTGGGGTTGAACACTTCATATTATTATAAAAATGCTCAAATTCTCAGAGAATCTTTCCAGGGCATAAAGGGGCATTTTCTACTCCCCCACTGACAGTGTATCATTTTCAACTGACTGCATCTGAAAACAGATAAGGCAAATCAAGATGAATCTAAAAATTAACATAATTGAGGACAAAAGTAGTGAGCTTTTGCTTTGAACAAAGAGGTGCATCACTGAGTCACAGAAAATGAAACATTAATGCAATCAGCTGAGGCTATGGACTGACTGGGAGTGACAGAGACCAACGACAGGATCCCAATTATAGAACAGCCTTATCTGAGCAATCATCTACAAACGTTTCACATGTGAGCAGGAATAAGGCACATGGTCTGAATGATGAATATTGCTAATAATAAATATAAAAG